GGCTTCCTCCTCTCCACTGTTTGTTCCTTGTACATTTTTATCACTTAGTGTAACCTTCATTTCTTCCCTTATGTTTTTGCCACACTCAGTGAGTACTTTGAGCATCCTGATCACCAGCAGTTTGAACTCTGCATCTGATAGGTTGGTTATCTCCATTTCATTTAGTTCTTCTTCTGGGGTTTTGTTCTGTTCTTTCATTGGGACCGCATTTCTTTGTCTCCTCAATTTGCCAGCCTCCCTGTGTTTGTTTCTGTGTATTAGGTAGAGCTTTGACTCCCTGTCTTAGAAAACACACCTGTAAATTGCATAATTATAAGTCTGCACAGGTGTTTTAAGCACAGTCTCCTGAAAATCTGGCAGTTTCTTCTGCCACCTCAACTCCTACTGGTTTTTACTGCCAGAAGTGATGGGAATTTATATTCCTGGCTCTGAAACCCTGGGCTGTGAGGTCTGGCTGGGGACATGGATCACTCACTCCTAAGGTGTCCCTTCCAATTTTTATCCATCAGCCTGGCCTTTCTGCCACCACTGCCACTGCCTCTCTATGCAACATGTCATCTCCATGTCTCCCTGCACATCTCCGTGTCTCTGCCCTTCCTACCTGTCTGATGAATGTGGCTTCTTTAAATTCTTGATTGTCAAACTTCCATACAGCTCTATTTTCTGAGGGTTCTGGATGTTTTTCATTTTGAAGTCTAGTTGTAATTCTTTCTGCGGTTGTGAGAGAAGCTGTGTTTATCTATGCCTCCATCTTGACTAGTAGTCTTATCTGCTCTCCTTTAAAATTAAATTTTAAACCTTAGTTAAGACCTTAGACCTTTAGAGACTTTGGCATTAAGACCTTGGATTTCTAGAAATCTACTAGAAGGCTTAGCTATAAAGGAAAGTCCATTCAAACTTCCATAATAATCAACAGATTCACCCATGTCTCTATGCTGTAATAAGAGAAAGTAAAGAAAAAGTAAATATGCAAACAAAATATTAGATTTCATAAATGTGAATATTACCATTAGCGTACTCTAACCCAAGTCATTATAAAAACACATAAACGCACAATTTGATAGCATCTTCTATACTCATGTCTTAGAAATAAAATATAGATTTAATCTTTTAAACCTTTTGTTTGCTGAATGCAAAATACTTTTAATTGGTAAAATATGAGAAGGCTAAAATATTTTCTATTCTATTATATTGGCCCTTTGCATTTTAACAGAGTAAATTATAGTTTCTAAAATTATTTAAAATGTTAATAAAATAATTTTTAGTTAAATTTGTTTTCATATACAGGGTGGGACAAAAGTAGATTTATAACTGAATATGCAAAACACAGAGTTTTATTCTTGTATTGTTATTAGTTATTGTATTATTTTCCATACAAATAATCATAAACCTACTCTTGCCCGACCCTGTACATTTCGACTATAGCACTGATGAAATGTGGTCTCTTGTTTCTGGGTTAGAGTACAAATGTCTTTATGAATCCGCAAAATACTCAAAATATCTTCCCAAATCTACTACTTTTCTTAAAAAGACACATCTGATCTCAATAAACTAACAGGTCCGTTGGAAAAGCACAGTTTGACGGGGTGGAGATGAGACGAACTGGAGAACCAGAGGAGAGTTTGACTTGACAGATCCAGACATAGATCCGCTCTCAGCTCTAGGGTGGCAGGGTGGGGGCGGAGAAAGTTACGCAACCCTCCCTCCTCTTTCTTCTCTCCTCCCCCTCCTCTTCCTGCGCTATCACCACCAGTTCCTACACTCTTTTCATCTCAGAACTGAGTACTTCTCTCTTCACCAGCTAGGGAGGACCAAGAAACATCTCTAGAATGTTCCCTATATTTTACCACAGGCAGTTTGTCAGGGGCTGACCCCACAGAAAGAGACATCTGGTAGCCTCAGTTTTAAATTAATTATATTCATGTTTTCAACACAGAACTCAAAATCACAGGCATGATCTTGGTAAAGAAACCCCCTAAAGTTTTTATTAAGATATACAGCTACCTCATGTGCTTGAATTATAAACCTAAGAATGATTCAGCTTGAGGCTTGCCAAGACCTAAGTTGCCTGAGAAAGGTAAAATGCTGCAATAAGGTAAATATAGGACTAAGAAACAAAACTAACCTCAGCATAGTTCCAGGGGACATGGGCAGAAATCTACATTAGACCCTCCAAAAAAGGGCATGGAGAGAACAATTCCCGCCTGGTCCATTTTGGTAGCCATAAACAGTGGGATCCCACCTGTGGTAGGCAACAGCAGAAGCTGCAAGCAGGGACAACCCTGGTGGACAGCCAGGTGGTAGCATTTTTCTGAAATGTTTTTCTTCTTTGGCAAATAATTTTATTTTGGGAATTGAGACACAGAAATCTGAGGCCTGATAACAGTTTCTAGTTATTTTCCTCAGAAATATTTGGCACCTCTTCTCTCTCTCTCTCTTTTGTTATGTGAAAGCCTTCTCCAATTTTAGTTTAAATCCTCTTCACCAAATTGAGATTATCTTACAGACACACATGCCATAATAAGATGTTTCCTCCTCTTGACAGACCCATATGTTTCTTATCACAAGCAATGGCATAAAAAATGTTCTTCACCCTTATTTGTGTCAGTGTTTCACTTCCCTTATTCTTCTTTCTATTCCTGACTCTTGACTTGCAAATGCAGGAAAACATTTTTTAAAAAATTATATCTGTAAATCCAAACCGCTCAGTGTCTACATTAGAATTAAATTTTATATGAAATACATTCTGGATATTTTTCTCAGTGGTATTATTTTCTTCTTGGTGTATTAGAAGAGCGTAGAAGTTAGTGGGCTGTAAGAATCTCCATACACCTCGTGCTGTTCCATGGAAACTGTGCCACAGCAAGTGGTCTCCCACCACCACCATGAGTTTTCCTGCAAGGCTGATGCCCAAGATCACTATTGCTCTATAGAATGTGGGAAGAGTTCTGCTTTGTTAAATGATTGGAGTCCATATTTTACAAGACAAGACTCTTCTAACTCCAGAAGCAGTTTCTTCTTCACACTGTTCTGTGACATAACATGTGTGTTCACTTGCCAAGATTTCAACCCTAATATTTGTTTTCCTGCACCTCCTCAAGCTATTTTATTTATTCCATTGTGTGTGTGTGTGTGTGTGTGTGTGTGCGTGTGTGTGTGTTTTAACATTTTGTTTAGGAGTTCTTTATCCTCCTAAATAAATTGGAGCTAAATCAGACACTCATCAAGAACTTGCTGTTCTCCCCTACCATGTAATAATAACTCTTTTGCATACTTCCATCATGATATGTTTTTAAGCTGTCTATATATCACTAAACCTTCATCTCTCCAAAAGATTGTATTCTCAGAGGATTGTTTACTTTTAACTACCACCACACACACCATCATCACTACTGAGCCTAAAACATTCATGACATCAGTTAGGAATCCAGCAAGTGTTCGTTGAATTACAAAATGCCATATTTCTGTTAACTCCAAATGAATTCTAATCCTGTGTGGTAGAGCATTATTACTACAAAGTCTTGAGTAATAGGGGGTCCTTTTGAACTCTAAATGTCTACCTTTTGGATCTAAAAGGTACCAATCTTCTGAGTATTAGAAATTAGCCCTGTTGTATATCATCCAATGAACCCAAACTCCTTCAATAATGACAATAGCACCTCCACTTCCTGTGACAACAATGTAACAAAATACCTCATTCACTTCTTCCTGTCATTATTTCTATCTCCTACAGCTTCTTGCTTTGGCCATCTCAGATTCCTAGGAACACTGTTTTAAAGCCTCATTTGGTTACTTCACAACCCCTTGTTTCTTCCTGCCACAGATTTTCCACTTCTAAGAATAAACTAGATTCAAGAATAAGTAAAGTATATTTATGCCCTATATTTATGTTTTCACTTTTTCATAATCAGAGAAATAGAAAACAAAATTATAAATTTCTGTGTAATGTTTTAGTAATATGACCTTGGTTTTCAAATGTCTTTACAAATCTTTTTATAGTTGCATAACAACAATAGAAAAAAAGATTCACAGATTGTCAAATGGGGACAGAGAAGTAGAGGGTGAACTGTTGCAGTTAGGACCAGAAATCACATTCCAAAACACTCATTATTCAATAACTGCTAAGTATAAGCAACATACCATTCATTGAAAGCTGCTTATTCTTCTATAAATCTTTATAAAAATATTCATCTTTGAACTTCCAGAACCCAATGTGTTATCTAGCATATAGTGAATAAGCTCAGCTAGTCAGGTACCAAGGAGAGTTAAGACAGAAACACAAGACATTTATTTATTCTTAAAAAATTTGCAGTTTAAACAAAGCTGCAATATTGAACAAAAGTAACAAATATTAAGGCATTAAGATTAATATTATTAATAAGATTGCATATAAAATTAAAGTAGTTTTTCTTGAGCATCTTCTTAGAGACTTTAATACATCCAGGTGCAATGAAAAGGGCAATAGAATGAGCAGAATTACCCAAACTTAACTGACCACTTGTTTCTCTTCCTACCCCTCCAAAAGAACAGTGATTAATATCTTTCAAGAAAGTGGCACTAGAATAAAAAACCTTTCAGAAAATAATGAACTTATATAATGGTGGTAACTAAAATAAGACATGATTAAGCAAGAAAAGACTTATAGGAAGGAGTCCTGAATTAACTCTTAAAAAGGAGAGTGACATATTTGGAGAAGATGGGAAGAAACATCAGGGGGCAAAATTAATGCATGTTCTTAACTCTCATTTAGAAGAGATGCAAACAATTGAATGTATGTTTGCTTAACTATAGTGATAAACCAAAGTTGGCATGAAAGGAACAGGTAGGCAGAATTTACCAGAGTAGATAGAGAACAGCCCAGCTTTTCAAACAGAGATTTCACAAAGATTATGCTTGTGACTTTATCTATATGGATGAGATTACACATTGAAAATATTAAAAACATGAAAATAAATGCAGTTTATTACCACCACTCGGTAGTATTAATCTAGTACTGTTACCTGCTAGTCCACACATAGGTGCCCTAGTCTGTTTGAGGGACTGAAGTTCATCTTCCGATCTTCACTTCCAATGAGTGCCCAATGAATGAATTAGAGCTTTTGTGCTTTTTCACTGAAAGGAGAAAATATGAGGTATGTGAGAGTTGGGGACAGGAAAAACTGGAGAAAATAAAAGAAAAAAATGATAAATAATGTAATGCTCTGGTATCATTCTGTCAAACTGCCCTAAGGATGGCTTTTACAACACAGAAGGAAGAAATATTAGCTTCAAAGCTAAACCTGCTATTTCCCTGTAAAACTCTGAGATGTGGAGCTCTGGTACCTAAACAAAAGTTTGAAACTAATGTGGAAAAAGGAATATTGCCACCTCTGGACTGAAAGGGGATGGCAACATCTGGCAGGGCCTGCAGAGCAGGGGCCAAGTGGGGGTAGCCGCCCTTGTGGCCTGTGGAGTGGCAGGGAAGCTGCTTGCCCAACAGGCAACAACTGCAGCCGTTGAGGTGTTCCCTCCCTCAAGAGTCTAGCATGGTGAACGAACATGAGCAAATTTATTTTTCTCTTGCACATATGAGACTTCCCTATAGATATGCCAAAAAGATTAGTGCTTACATCCAATAGTCATGGATGTAGAAGAACCACAGTTACTTAGCATTAGTGTTAATGAGATTTCATCTGAACTGACAGGTTGGTCATACCTAGTTATATTTATGTAATGTAAAGTTATAGGATCTCTATATGGTACTTGAAGACATACTTATAGGTCAAGAATTACAAAGACTAATGTCGATAGGGAGCTATGTGATAAATGTAAATAGTGTGCCAGGTATGACACAGTAGGTGCAAAACAGCCTGTACTGCAACCCAGCATCACTCTGGCCATGAGATATTATGGTTTAAAACACCACCTGGGGCACTGGCTGGGTGGCTCAGTTGGCTGGAGCATCATTCCTCTGATCTCTCTCTCTCTCTCAAATCAATCAAAAGTACCCTTGGGTGAGGATTAAAAAAAATAAAAAAAAAATAAAAACTTTATTCAGGTATAACCAAAGGGCTATAGGAAGCTAAAAGACCTCCACTGTTTTACGTTGCTCTCGATGCTTCTCTTGACCTTCTATTGTTCTTCATTGTCTTACAAACAAAATCTGGTTTCACTGTCATGTCTCAAGACAGTCCATCGTAATTTACCCTATCACTCTGTCTTCACCTACCATTGCCCTTCATTATACTCTAGCATCCAGATGACAACACATGATGAATAAATACCCTTCTTTTCCAAAACACTGATAAAAGCATGGTTGTGACAGAAATTAAACTGCATAACTTTCAGTGAAGAGCCTGATCCCATGTTTGGGCAATGAGAACATGACCTAATCAACGCTGCAAGGAAAAGTAAGAGTAGTTCTAATTCATCTGCACTTTGCTAAGAGACTTCCATATACCCAAATTCCTGTTTTCACCTGCTCACAAAGCTGCAAAATCTTCCAGGTATCGAAATGGTTCTGCATTCAAAGCCAGAGAGGCTGACTCTTACCCATAGAGACACTTGTGAATATATCCTGGAATGTCTTCATCATTTCAGCATTGCCTTTCTTTATGGCCCCAAGATCCAGTGCACAAAACTGCATCCCTGTTGACGCTCTCCACCCTCACAGATACAGCCTGACAGCAGTCACCATCCTCAAAAGGACACTTTCAGTGCAGCCTGTACTGGGATCACACTGCTACATGTCTACAAAAACAATTCCTGCCAGTTTTTCTCTAGTCTGTCTAAATCAACAATGCTAATAATTTTTATCTCATGTTCTTCTGACTACTCTATAATAGTCATTGAAATAAAACCTAGGAACCACAAAGAAAAGACCATTGCTTTGAGTACGTTCTTCCTGAGAATACCCACCACCATAGTTAAATGGACAAGTAACCCTATACTTTCTCTCATCAAGATGCTATAAATGAACTACTCCACTGATATATAGAAAATGTATTTGGTCTAGACCACTAAGAGTTACGTATTTCCAGAGCAGAAATAGTTTTTCTGGGTCCTAGCCTAAAACAAGTTCAAAGCAGGATTTTGAAACGTCGTATGTGGTCACTCTTATGATTTCTCTCACAATAATACAGGCTGAAATACAGTATTCTCCTTATAACCATTTTTTTCTTAAAATTATTTTGAATCCATGGTTATGCTTGAGAAAAACCAACAATGATAAAAAGCATAACTATTTACCAATTGAGCCAAAAATCTAAAAAAATGTTGAATGTAACATTTAATTTACAGCCACCAACAGGAACTGTCGGGGAAACAATTTGGTTAGATTCACTGTCCCTCTTTTGTTGGTGAAAACTCAGCTGTAGTGTCCTCCTCATTCTTGGGTATAAATGCTGCCTCTTGATCCAGCTGTTCTCCTTCTCTCTAAATGCCGTGGCAGATGAGCCGGATGCATATGGTTAAGACATGGATGAAGTTTCAGATCCTTGGGTCTTTAAAAGCACTATAATCTGCAAGATTTGGAAAGGTTACACCACAATAACCCCTCCGGGAAAGCACAGCTGATTCCCCTCCTATTTAAAAGGCTATTTAAAATCCTTCATATTTTTATGTCCTATATCCAACATCCATTTTACAAGCCAACAGCACTAAATCTAAGAACTTCAAAGAACCACAGGCTTCAGATGGACTTTGAGAAATCACTGAATATAACTTCTTATTTATAAGCAATGCTACACTTAAGCCATCCCAGAAAACTATCTTATTTTTAAAGACTATCATAGAAAGATTTTTCCAGCTTGCCTAAGTGTCCTATTACAAATCTCCAGCAGGCTTCCTTCACCAAAAATTCTTCCTTGCGTGTTATCTAAGTCCTTCAAATCCTAGTGAGTCTACTTCTTTTATTCCAATCTTTTGCTAACTTGCCATCTTTCCTACCAGCTTCCACTGTTTTTCAGTTAATGACATATTCTCTTAATTATCAGTACTCTAAATTGTAATCATTTATTTTTTAGGCAGCAAGTTTCAATGGGGTTGCTGTGAGAATTTTTAAAACTTGCCACACCTGGCTGTGTAGTCAGGGACACTGACCTCGTTTCCCTAAGGTTGTCAAATTAAAAAAAAAGCCAATACAGCAACAGCTGTCTGGTGTAAATGAATCAAAAGTACAATATTTTTTGTCAGATCAGCAAAAAAAAGTAATGTTTTTAGGTGTGCCACAGAATCTTAGTAATTAGTTTATGTGTGGTATGAGATGAAAAAGGTTGAAAATCTGGTTTTCAGGGCCAGGATTAGGGCCAGGCTGACAAGGTTCATGAGGCACAAAAAAATGTTTTAATATATTTTATTGATTGTGCTATTACAATTGTCCCAATTTTTCCCCCTTACCCCCCTCCACCCATTACCCCCATCCCTCTGGCGATCTTCCCCCATTTAGTTCATATCCATAGGTCATCCATGTAAGTTATTTGGCTATTCCATTTCCTTTACCATTCTTAACATCCCCCTATTTATTCTGCACCTACCAATTATGCTTCTTAATACCTGCACATTTTCCCCCATTCTCCCCCTTTCCCTGTCCAACTGATAATTGTCCAAATGATCTCCATATCTATGATTCTGTTTCTGTTCTGCTTGTTTGCTTTATTTTTTAGATTCAGTTGTTGATAGTTATGAATTTTTTTGCCATTTTAATGTTCACAGTTTTGATCTTATTTTTCTTAAATAAGGCCCTTTAACATTTCATTTAATAATAAGGGCTTGGCACAAATGAACTCTTTTAGCTTTACCTTGCCTGGGAAGCACTTTATCTGCCCTTTCATTCTAAATGATAGCTTTGCTGGATAGAGAAAACTAGGTTGTAAGTCCTTGCTTTTCATCACTTTGAATACTTCTTGCCAGCCCCTTCTAGCCTGCAAAGTTTCTTGTGAGAAATCAGCTGGAAGTCACATGGGAACTCCTTTGTAAGTAACTCTGCTTTTCTCTTGCTGCTTTTAAGGTTCTCTCTTTATCTTTACCCTTTGGCATTTTAATTATGATGTGTCTAGGTGTGGTCCTCCTTGTTTGAGACTCTGCTTCCTGGGCTTATTTACCTATTTCCTTCACCAAATTAGGGACGTTTTCTTTCATTATTTTTTCAAATTCTTGCTGTTCCTCGTTTCCTCTGGCATCCTTATGATTCAGATGTTGGTACCTATGAAGTTTTCCCAGAGGCTCCTTAGCGTATCCTCATGTTTTTTATTCCTTTTTCTTCTTGCTATTCTGATTTGTTTTTTTTTTTACTTCCTTATGTTCCAAATCATTGGTTTGATTCTCAGCTTTACCACTCCACTGATGATTCCCTGTAAACTTCATTTCTGCCTGGGTCTTTTTTAGGTTGTTGAAACAACATGTTTATGACATGTTGAAACAACATGTTTAAAGACATAAATTATGTCTTATAATTTAGCTGTTATTTTTGCTACCAAGTACCTAGTGAATTCCTTGAGCATCCCGATAGCCAGTGTTTTGAACTCAGCATCTGATAGATTGCCTATCTCCATTTTGTTTAATTCTTTTTCTGGAGTTTTGTTGTGTTTTTTTTTTTCATTTGGGCCATTTTGGCAGCCTCTCTGTGTTTGTTCCTATGTATTAGGTTGAGTTGCTTTGACTCCTTGTCTTAGCAGTGTAGCCTATTATAGAAAAGCATACCCATAAGTTGGATGGGACAGAGCCTTAGGTGGGGAAACCTGTGTGAACCAGGTTGTTGGAGTCTCAAAGATGGTGTTGCCTCTCTGTGGCTCTGTGTGGGCGAGGCTCAGAAAAGGGATAATGGCTGCTGCATAGCCTCTAGAATTTGGTCCAGGAGGAAGGTGTCCCCCAGCACTCGCGCTGATATAAGACAATTCAGTTTCTCCCTGTATGCCACTGGTGCCCTTTCCATTGCTGCCCCAGTGCTGGATTCCAGAGGGAGTGAGTCTGTGTAAGTCCTATGTCTGTTGCAGGCCCTTCAAGAGGAGACGCTTGAGAATCCTGCAGTTTCTTATGTGTCTCTGCATCTCTACACCTCTGCTTCTCTGCCCCTCCAACCCATCTAGATGAATATGACTTCTTTAATTCCTGGGTTATTGGACTTCCATATAGCT